ATTTTTTTGATATTTTCAAAATCGGGTATGATATACCCATGGTTAGTAGTGGTATAACTTTAGTTGATGGTTAATGTTCCAGGGTTAAAAAAGTAAACTTGGATGTGCAGGTGGTGTAATGGACAATGGCTCAGAATTGTGTTTATTTCGTCATGAGATGTATACATCACAGGTTCACCTCCCTACTTCTCAACATAGTCACCACCTTTCAGAGGCAGTGTTCCACCTATAAATGAGAGCCTGTATCCCAGTTTTGTAAAACTCAGCTGGCTACTGATGTAGCCAATTCCTTACAGCAGTTTTCACTTCTTCATCACCACCACCACCATAACATTTGCCCCTCAGTGCCTCTTTGATTGGACCAAAGAGATGGAATTGTGTGTATGCTAACTCACTGACATTCACGATATATTCTATCAATTGCTTTTTAAAAGATGCTATCTTTTTCCAGGAGCATCTATACTCTGAGAAGTTTTGCATTCACATAATAAAGAAAGTAAACTTGGATGTGCAGGTGGTGTAATGGATAATGGCTCAGAATTGTTAATTGGAGAGCCAAGTTCCAATTCCTGTTGGGTTTGTTATACTCGCTTACTTGCAAATACCTTTGGGAATGGTATGTATCTATCTCTTCTCCCCCATCTATGGGTTAATTAGTAAGATTTGTATCACTAAACCATTACTATTTCAAAAAAATTCTTACAATCTAAAAATATGTTCTGGCTTTAATTAATGTGGCATTTAGTTTCTCTGGGTAGTTTGAGACCACAAAAATAACATTTTCACGTGGCTGCAACACTAGCAGAGTATGCAGTGTCTTTCAGAGGGAGAAGATTTTGAACTGGCAGTAGAGAAGACTGTATTTTTTCTGGGTCATTTGAACTGGTGGACTAGTAGGAATGTGAGTACTTAGTGCAGCCTCTGCAGCAATTATTTGTAGGTATGGACAAAACTGCTTTCCTGCCATGTCCAAAGTAAATGCTTGCTCATGAGCAGTAGCTAAATCTAGTTGTTTAATTTCTAGCAACCTTTGATGGATACAGTTAGATTCTAATCCATTTATAAAAGAGTCTCTGATAAATTCATCCTTACCCTGATTTGCTATTGTCGTTTGAAAGTGCTGATGATACTGTTTGTTCTAACCCCTCCTCAGGGGATTGGCAGGTAGTTGCTAATACATACCTGGCAAAGATTATGTTTCGTCTCTTAACAAAAATTCCATCCAAAATGTCCATGGCACTCTGGTAAGCTTTGCAGAAATATTGGTATATACAGATATGGAAAAATAGTGCATTCATCATCATCATCTTGCGGCCTCAGCCGAGATTGAACTCACTAATACTTTGATTGGTGTAGTTCATAATCTTGTCAAATAGCTGAATTCTTGATGCTTCACTAGGGCTATCAAGGGTGTTTTTATCGTGACACCAACACTAAATGGATTGCCAACCAAGGCTCAGAGAGACTTCATTCACCCTCCTCTAAGAGCAGGTTTGAATTCAGAGTTTTTCTTTCTCCTAGACCAGTTGCCATCCAAGGCTATAGAACCCAGTCTGTCCTGCTATTTACCCATAGCTGGAGGGAGAAGAAAGAGGATTCACACCTTTCCCCAAGGGTATTAGCACGTAAGTGAATGTAATGGATTCAACTGGAATTCGAACTCGGCTCTCCGATTCCTCAATCCAAGCCGCTATCCATTACTCCACCGTGCCTCCTCACAATAGTGCATTAGCAGGTTAAGTCTATCCATATAAGTAATAGGAGTGGATGAACTGTTTTCCAGTGCAAGCAAAAATCCTTCGAATAATTGTTTCCAGTATCGTGCCAGTGCTATAACTTATTTTGTTTTGTCCATTTCAGTAAACGTTTGCCATAATTCAACTTACAATTTCTATTGTGAATAGTCTTTGTTACCAAATCTGGGTGCATGTATTAAGTAGTCATCTTTAATGCTCTGTTACCATAGATATGATCACTGAAGTTAAGCAACATCGAGTCTGGTCAGCACCTAGATGGGTGACCATTTGGGAATACCAGATGCTTGGATGTGCAGGTGGTGCAATGGATAATGGCTTGGCATCATCAATTGGAGAGCAAAGTTCCAATTTCATCTGGGTTCATGAATTCATGAATCCACCTCTTTTCCCTCTAGCTATGGGTTAATTTCTAAGACTTGTGATTAAAGTACAGGTCTGGTTTAAAATGTCAGTATTTCCTATAGGCAAGTCAAAATTCAAGGTTATTTACCTCACCACCCCGTAAGGCAGTATGTGGCACAAAGTCATTACTTAATGTAGGGTAAAACTGAGCCCGTAGGCTCAGGTAAAAATTCTCCGTAGACCCCGTAAAAAACGGGGTCGGGTAGCTGTCTACCACCCCAAATGAGACTCTGCCCTTCACCATAGCCTCATCTGGGTTCCTCTCCATCTGAAGAGTGCAACTAGCTTAGCTGGAGATGAATCTCCAACCAATTGCCGAAGCAAGCTCCAATATTTTCTAAGCGCAGCTTAGATGTGTTACAAGGTCGAAAGGATGGGGGCACTTAGTGAGGATCGAAATCACTATTCAGTCGCAATGGTCCTAGTGAGACAAACTTGCGAACCATTACACCACGTCGAGGTGCCCAAAGTCAAAATTCAAGTTCCAAGGGAGAAATCACAGCAGTTTAAATACTATCTAATGGCCCAATCCACCCTGGGCAGGAGGGGGACACAAATCTATGCTCCTGCCACTGCTGGTAGGAACAGTCCATTAAATTGGGGAGGGGGAGATAATTGATTATACCAGTTACAATAAACAATAGTTAACAACTTCTATCACTAAACCAAAAAAACAGCATAGCATGACAAAAGGCCCCAAACTTAATAAAAACAGTTTTATCATCAAAATGTTATGTTATTATTAAGAGGAAAGATCAAATAATTTTTTTATTATTTTATTAAATTTTTAATCCTTTCTAGCATGTTTGAAATTTTGGTTAATAATCTTGTTTTTTTTTTTTTTTTGTATTGGTGGTTGGCCTAATATTTACTATTGGTGTTTTAGTGTCTTTTTTCTGCTAAAAAGAACATTGATTTGGAAATTCTTGCAAAAATCAAACAATTGTTGAATCCTAATGAAACTTTCCAGACTTATTCACAAATGAAGGAAATTATATTTTAAAACTTTTTGATTGCAAAATTTGTTTTATTAGTTAACAGCAGGACTCCTTGGAGATTGTAAATCATTAATATTTTTTTTACAAACTGCTACTCATTTCCTGAAAATCTGCTCCAAGTCATAAAATAAAAAATGTAATAAAACTGACATTATTTAATTAGAAATACTTTTAATTGATTTTATAAATAAAATTAATTAAAGACACTGATTAAGGTCTTGAAGAAAAAAATTAATGAATAATAAATTTTTATAAAAATGGTTTTCATTTTTTTTAATTTTAATTATATTTATTATAATTTATACATAAATCTTAAAATTCTGGATTAATTTGATTGCGTTAGGTGATATTATTAAGTGAAAAGTATATTTACTAATCAAAAATTGAAAAATATAATACAAATCATCATGCACCAAGATTTTTAAAATAATTTTTAATTTTTCTTTTTTTATGTGTATAAACGTGCCCATTTTGAAAGTATGAGCGACCATAAATGACATTATCAGAAAAAAAGAGCGATGAATAGAGTAAATTTAAAGTCAACGTTCCTAAAATTAGATTAGAGAATATTTTTTAACATTTCTAAAAAAGGGCGCTAATCAGCTATTTTAGCAAAAAAAGATTCTAATCAATATAAATTTCTGTTTGAAATACACCAGAGTATTTTGATTACTGGAAATAATAAATTTAATCCTTCAGCTTTCAATTAAAGCTCAAATGAAAGCTTCAAGAAAGAATTTTCATTTTTTAAAAATCATTTTTAAACCTGAGGTATCATGAATCAGCAAAGGTACCTACACTAAATTATTATTAAAAAAAAAAAAAAAAAAATTATTTTACAATCTAAAATTATTTTCAGGCTTTAAATAACTTGGAGAAACTGGAGAAAACGAATCAAAAAAAAAAAAAAAAAGTTGAGACATCAGACTGGTTTATGGCAAGCATAAAAGAAAGGTGAGACATTGGACTAATTTATGCTGTAGACAAAAGAAAGTGTGGTGGTGGTGGGGGGGCATTGGAATGGTATATGCTAGTGTCAAAAAAAAAAAGAAAAACAAAGGAAGACATCACACCAGTTTACACTAGAATGAAAAAAAAAAAAAAGGAGAGACTGATTTATGCTACAATCAAAAACAGGGAGACATTGCTTATGCTAGGGTAATAAAAAAAAAAATAGGAGACCTTGGACCAATTTACACTAGAACCAAAAAAAAGCAAAATAACTTGACCAATTTATAAAACAGTCAAAAAAGCGAGGCATCAGACCCATTTATGCAAGAATAAAAAAAACAAAACAAAAAACAATCCCCCCCCCACCAAAAAAAAAAAAAAAAAAAGAGACACATTGAACCGGTTTACACTAGAATCGAGATAATAAGCATATGACTGGTTTATACCTTAGTTTGAAAGTACTAACTCAGAAGGTGTCCACTCTAGAGGGGAAATCTGAAGAGGATGCACCCAATGTACCCTAAAGAGCAGGAAATAATATAAAGAAAAAAAAAAACAAACCAAAATATAGTAATGAAAATATTTCATATTAGAATTCTTTTTAATTCTTAATTCATATTAATATATACTTGGTGAGTATCTGACCTTAAAAAAAAAAACAAAAAAAAAACAAAACATAAAAAAACTTACATTTTTGCAAGACAAGGATATCAGTTTAACTAATTTACTAAATAATGTATAAAATCCCCAATGAGGATAATATACGTTTTTAATTTATTTGAGGAGACTTGCTGTCACTTTATTTTGAGTTATGACCCACCAGTCACCTGATGTGAACATGGAAATACATAAGATGATGATGATGATGATAATAATAAAAATGGTTTCTTACTTGGTCTTTAGCTAATCCACCAATCACAGCCAAAAATGTAGAAGCCAATGTGCTTTGAGCAACTGGAAATTCCTGAAATTCAAATAGAAATTCTATATTTAGTGAATTACACCCAAGAACACAAGACATAAAATCAGAACAGTGGGCACTTAACCTGAAAACTCATTCCTTAAGGGATATTTTCAATAGCAGAGTAGTTCACATTTTTTTTTCAATTGTAAATGCAAAAGGGAAAAAAAAGAAAAAGATATATTTATATACATTATGAAATGGACAAAGTCCGACAATTATTTAAAGACATTTTTAAAGAATGTTAAACATAAAAATGTCTTTAAATATACTTATATATAAATATTATATAAATATTTTTACATATGTATTTCATATTTAATTAAAAAAAATTTTTTTCATATTTAATTTAAAAATATGTTTTTCATATTTAATTTAAAAATGTTTTTTCATATTTAATTTAAAAATATGTTTTTCATATTTAATTTAAAAATGTTTTTCATATTTAATTTAAAAAAATATTTTTCATATTTAATTAAAAAAACATTTTACAGATGAAATTTAAAAAATATTTTTATTTATTTAATTTAAAAATGATATTTTTATATATTTAACTTCTAAAAAAATATCTAATTTTTAAGAAATGTCTTATATATTTAAATTAGCGGCTGATGTAATATTTCACAAAAAATTTATTTTTCCTGGGTTTTCAAATGCTTGGCAATTAGATCCGATGATAATTTAAGACATTATTCACCAGAAATGGCTGATCAGATATCTTCCAAGCAAATGTCTGAGTTTTCACATTTTTGGCAGTAAATTGGTCATTGATTTCAAACAATTTCTAGATGATTGCAAAGGGAATTAAAGCAACGACTATTATCAAAGTGGTGCCAATTAATTTAAAAAAAAAAAAAAAAAAAGAAAAAAAAAAAGCAGCAACAACTTTATGTTGTGACACATCTCCATTTAATTAAATTCATACTAAAGTCTTTTTTAAATAATATTTTTATAAACTTGAATCCTAGAATTATTTTTTGCTTTCTCTAAATCAATTCCAAAACAAGGGATGATTGCCTCATGCAGTGTTGAGACTGGCAAGCATTAGACAAAGGTACAGAGAAGAAGCTGTACATTAAAAGCAGTTTAGGAGACCAGGTAATGGAAGAGCAATTAAAGTCTGTCTTGTTTAAAGCAAACAAATTTTAGAATGAAAGATGTGATGCAAACTAGTTTTTGCTATAAACCCATAGTCTGTAATTCTGAGAAGAAACTCAATCAGTGTTCATGGTTTACATGCATCCATATTTGTTACTCTGGTTTGCATACATCTGTATTTGTTAATCTAATTTGCAAAATATTATTCTGTAATTTCTAAAAGAGACTCAGTAATTGGTGACTGAGTTGAACATGGGGTTTATAGACACAGGCATGATCAAGTTATGTTACAAGTTAACTAACTGCCATATTTACGGATAAAATGACTTCAGCAACTATTCAGATATTCTATTTACATTGTTTGGACTATTGTCCTTATCTTTGTTGCCATATTTATCACAACGCTCCGGCCTTCTTCAGGTGGTTGGAATGTTGAACTGAACCCTTTATTTCGCTCACTGGAGTAGACTGTTCTAGTTCCACTCGCCATGTTTAATGGATGTCAGTTATCAGTTATCTCCTGTTAATTCCCCTCTCCATGTTAACCAGGTATTGAACTCACACACTTTGGGTGTGACTCTAACTAACACTTTTATCCACTGTGCCATGTGTCCTTGAGGACATCTAGGTATGAATTTCTGGGAATTATAAACCTAATGTCTTCAGCAACCATTTTTTACCAGTGATGATATTGTAATTTTTGCTGTTATCATTGCACGTTTTTTACCAGAGCTCATATTGCAATTTTTGTTGTTATTATCGCTTTTCTCTGGCACTCCTTATTACTGGTTCCCATATTGTATTCATTTCTATGCTTGGTCGGCTCAGGAGATTTTGTGGCCTAGCATATGTGCTGATTCCTTAATTTACAAATTTTCCAATGGTGTTCTTTGTCTATGATTTCAACCTGATCCCACAGAGGACAGTGATCTCCCTGTTCTCTCCATATGTGGTCAGCTACGCCTGATTTTTTCATTTCCCCTCATGTTACAGCTTTTTGGTATTCTTGAAGCCTTACCTTAAGGGGGCGGCCTGTCTCCTCTTTATATTTCTTTGCACAGCTGCATGGGATGGCGTACACACAGTCTTTAGTCATGTTCTCCTCCATGGTGGGGTCTTACTCGGGAAAGGTATCTGAAGTGTTGTTCAGCTTTTGAAGGTTGTCCTGATGTTATATGGACCGCACATCCTTTGTATTTTCTCTGATAACCCCATCACATAAGGCAGGGAGACTGTTTTCTGAGTGTTGTTGTCCTCCTCTTGTACCCGCCTATCCCAGTTTATTGGGGCTGCTGCCATGTACCCAGGGTAGTTGTCATGTAAGGTACTGCTTATACTAACCAATTCTTTATGTCTCTGGGTTTCCACTTATGACTTTTTCTTGGTGTTGTAAGCAGTGGACGATCTCTTTCTTTATGCTGTATGGATGGTGGGAATTGAAATTGAAGTAGTGTCCAGTAAATGTCAGTTTGCAGTATACGGATGTCTTGAACCCATGCTCTGTTCAAGATATTAAAACATCCAGGAATGGGAGTGTGTTGTTACTCTCGTTCTCCATTGTAAACTATATCGAAGGTTTTATTGAGTTCACATGGTTCAGTAGAACCTGAACATCTTCCTGGTGTGGCCAGAGTATGAAGGTGTCATCTATATACCTTAACCATAGAGTTGACTTTAGAGATATAGATTCTAATGCTATTTCCTCAAAGTATTCCATGTATATATTCGCCATTGCTGGTGATAATAGCGAGCACATTGTTAAGCCCTCATCCTGTTAATATTAGGCTTATAATACCCAGAAATTTATACACAGATGTCCTCAAAGACACATGGCAAAGTGGACAAAGGCGTTAGTTAGATTCAGTGACAGGACCCAAAGAGTGTGAGTTCAATACCTAGTGGAGAACTTGGAGAGGAGAATTAATAACTGATAACTGACATCCATTAAACAGGGCACATGGAACTAGAGTGAAATAAAGGGTTCACTTCGACATTCCAACCACCTGAAGAAGGCTGGAGTGTACAATGCCTGAAATGCTGTGATAAATATGGCAACAAATGGATGATAGTCCAAACAAAGTAAATAGAGTACATAATACCTCATCTCAGAAATATAGACATATATTCAGATATTAATGAATAGAGAGCAGCAAAAGCTTTATAGAAAACAAAAAGCCATGATAATTACACATTTGTATATTAGCGTGGATTAAGCTACAATTAGAGTAATGGAAGGATCCTTATAAGATTATATATATATATATATTATATATATAAGATTTTATCATAGGTACCACCAAAGTTTTATCATCAAAATCTTTGTTATTATTAAGAAGAAAGATCAAAGGATTTTTTGATTATTAAATTATATTTTTTAACACTTTTTAGAATCTTAAAAATTTTGTCGTTCTTGCATCAGCAGGTCACCATAAATTAAAATGGGAAATTTTAGCATCTTTTTGCAAATTCTTGCAAAAAATAAAGAAAAAAAAAGATAATTGTCAAATTTTAATGAAATTTTTAGGACTTATTCACAAATGAATAAAAATATTTTAGAAATTTTTCTTTCTTTTTTTTCTTGTTAATTTTTTTTTTTTTACATCTTATCTCCCACTTATTTAATTTTATGAAATTACAAGAAATTTATTTTTTTTAGAGTTGAATGTTTATATTAGTTAAAAAGTCCTTTTTGTAAAACAGGAATCCCAATTACAAAAAATTTACTCAAAATCAAAAAAATACAATAAAACTAAAACATTATTTAATTAGAAAAGCTTTTAACTGTTTTTATGAATAAGATATATTATGAACACCATTGTCTTAAGAAAACCTTTTTTTTTCAATGAGTAATAAATGTTTACAAGAATTGTTTTTATTTTTTTTTTTAATTATAATCATACTTATTATAAAACCCAGGTTGTGTGTGTGTGTGTGTGTGTGTGTGTGTCTGTTCGTTTATATATTGGATCGAATTTCCTACATTTTTCAACTGATTTCAACAAAACTTCACAGGACTACGTAAAATTACCGTGCGATGGTTCTGACAGCACCAAAAATTGGAAAAACACAATTGTTTTTGCACAAAATCAATTTGAAAACATGATTAAGAGGCATCGCTGTTGCGAGAATGAAAGGGGGACAACTCATATCGAGTTATACTTATTATAAAACCCAGGTTGTGTGTGTTCATTTATATATGGGATCGGATTTCCTACATTTTTCAACCGATTTCAACAAAACTTCACTTTTTTTTTCGCAGGTAGTGTTTCTTATTGTCTTGCACATTTTTTTATTTATTTTTACATTCAGAATGCTTTAAAAATTCTATTTACAAGACAATTGTTTATAATAAAATTCTATTGATCAGTAGACTCATAACAATTGAAAACAATGTTTTGTTTGAGTTTGGGTTTGACCAATTCGTGAAAAAAAAAAAAAAACTAATTAAGACATGCGTGTCCATCAACCTTAAACAATAATCTTTGTCAATTTTATTTTTTTCAGTCTTTATGATGGTTGATACTTGATCTATCTCTTACTGTTACATCCCCGGGCAACGCCGGGCTCTACTGCTAGTAATTTATAAAATTTTAAATCTTTTAAAATTCTGTATTAATATTGCTATTAAGTAAAAACTATATTTACTAATCATAAATGGAAAGGCATACTACAATTTAGCGATTACCAATATTTTAATAAGAATTTAGATATTTTTGCGTGCATGTATAAATGTGCTGATTTTTGTAAATACAGGTGTCCATACACAATATTATCAGAAAACAGGAGCAGCACCTATAGTAAATTTAAAATTAAAATGTAATTTTTTAATATTTCTTCAACAAGTGTCACCGTAAGTAAGACTATAAAGCCAAAAGTACCTAAAATTCAATAAAACCCCCTTCCTTGATGAATTTCATCTTAACATCAAGAAACCAATTTGAAAACTGGATAGGATCAGTATAAAAATAAGTAGACACAATAAGTCTATAATATGTCAGTATTATTCTATGAAATTTATATACAATAATGAGAAAAATAGTAGAAAACTCTTACAGCAGTAAGAATCAGATCCTTGATTCCAATGTGAAAGCCTGTGTAGGCAAGAAGTTCTTCAGTCATTAGAAAATCATGGACAGCACTGTAAAAAAAAAAAAATAAATAAATAAGGTGCAAATAATTTCATTGGTTGAGAATAAATTGTAATTTTGTCTTGGAAATAAATAGCATTTGATTTTAGCCTCTGAAATAAGAACATTCAACTGAAATTCAAAATGGAGGACAGTGATCAAGTAAAATCTATAAATTCGCCCATATTGACAGATCTGTCAACACAACATAATTCTTTTTTCTTTATATATATGGAAGTGAGTTTTAAATAGCACGAAGGTAAAGTTTAGATTGGTATTTTAATTGAGATTGAAATATACTACCCCATTATTGATGATAAAATTATTTAAATGGGAATAACCGTTGATAATTGGGTACATAAAAACAATCACGAGTTTACTTAATGAACAAAAATCAAAAACAATCACAAGTTTACTTAATGAACAAAAATCAAACGAAAAGATGTCAAGCAATAAGATAAAAGTTTTAATAGAATAAAAAAGATTACTAAATATAAAATGGATTACTCTTTCAATCTACTGTCTATGAATTTTTCCAATCGACTGCTTCATAGAAAATACCCAAAACACCACCGAATTTCAAATTAATTTCTTCGTAGATTGTTTAAACATTTAGATATTTATCAAACCTTAACCTCCCAAATATGCATGTTAAAGTAACACGAATTAACAGCGTCTAAGAATTTGAATGAAACCTGTCGTGTAATTGATTGGGGTTGTTGTAGCTTCTTCCTTTAATGTCGTTCTTCTCATTCACCCCTTAGCCATCTATATCTAGAGACGAGACACGTTAAATCTGAGCAACATCTAGCCGACACACTAGGGTTAAAAATAGGAAATTGAAATGATACATATGACACACTCATATCCTCTCTCCCACCTCACTTCCTCAATTTTACGTATGCTTGATGAGGTCCATCAAAAACGTGTGAATTTCTTTTCATTTTTCATTTCAGCTTTTGGAAGTAAAGTTTGATGATCCAGAACCCTGTTAAAGGGGTTATGGTGAAATAGCTTATTACATGGAATCTTAACGTGGTCTGTTTTTTATTCAAACATATCTGCTCTGAATTTTACATTGAGCTCTCTGGATATCATCCTCCTTGGGTCTACCCATACGGATTACCTAAGTTTGCATAGACTATATATATATATATATATATATATATATCTTTCAAAAATAAAATATACATTACTGAAATTTTATTTGAGTAACATAAGCTGAATTAAACTTTAATTAATCTTTAGACTCTTGTTCCACTGCCCCTGTCTAGGGATTATCTGTTTTAGTCCTTGTCTATGAGATAATCCCATGCCTAGGAATTATTTCATGTAGTTCTTGTCTACAGGATAATCCAATGTCTTGGGATTATCTTATCTAATTCTTGTCTATGATATAACAGCCTAGTGGGTTAAAGCAGTGATTCATGAATTTGGTGACCAAGTAATTTCGAGTTCAATCCTTGGGCTTGGTAGTGTGTACTTTGGCTCAGTGGAAACTGAGAAGTACCAGAAATAAAATCTAGATGCGATATCCCTAGACATGGTTAGAAGAACAAGAACAGCCTAACCCAGTAGATTAAATAAATGGCTCAGTTCAGATTTCTCTGTAGGTTACCCAGATATACACCTAATAAAGGCACAATAGCCAAAATGTTGTGATATCAACAACAAAGATCAGGACAATAGTTTAAATGTAAATAACGATAACTACTCATCCCAGAAATTATGCAGAAGAATGTTATCAATATCCTAATAAAATATTCTGAGGTCCTTAGTAACAGATTTTCAGAGATTCACACAAGATTTTGTGTAGGCATATTACTTGAATTTGTAAAGATTGCAGAGCCATTCTAATACAATATTACAAAAACTCATAGTAACTGAACACAATTAGATTGCAAGAATTCAACAAGTTGACTGACTCAGTAAGCTGGGTGCATATGAGTGTTAGCTGTGCACCCATTCCTGTTGAACAGTTGAATCAATATCTACAGTGTCAGATTTTCCCCATACCATCTCATATGAATAAATTCATGACAATTTTATTCAGTGAAAATTTCTTGCTAGAAAGGAAATTTCTTTTTACTCATTAAAATCTCATATAAGTGGTAATATTCTAATTGTGGGACAATTATTGTATGCAACAAAGAATTTGAAACAAAAGTATTAAGATTTCTAAACGCACCATATGACCTTGCTGTATTATTCTAGTAAAGTCATGTGATCTCAGTGCAGGTCTACCCCTTGCAAAATGCAATATCTGGTGGTATAAGAAGTTGTGAGTCTTGCAAGTAAAACCTTTGATTGAAGGACACTTAGTCTTCAAGTGTTGGGCAGGCACGGATAACACCTCTTGACAAGGTCAAAATACAAACAGGCATTTTATTACTTTTTACTCTGACTCAGCAAAACTCTGCTTGCAAATACAGATATTTACTAAGCTTTAGTCTGCTACATGACTAAAATAGTTGCCAGGAAGAAATAAAATGGTGACCAGGAAAAACAGAATAAAATAGAGTGAACCTTCTTCATTGGGGAGTAAAGGTTGGCTAGCTAGTCTGACAGATGCTAAGAAGAGATTGTGATCCTCATTGGATACCCAATAATTGGGGTTTTGTATTAAGTTATGTTTAGTATAAATATTAACTGTTTTTTTTTGTTTTTTTTTCAAATACCTAGCTTTGAATGACTGATTTGTTTTTTACAGCTAATCAACACTTTGCAGATTATGTTGGTTGGTTGATTTTGTTTAGTGGCATATCAACACCTATATGGGTTATTTAATGCTGAAATCTAAATATTTTGAATACAATTTTATGGTTTCAACTAAATATATACTATAAATAGGTATTTTTGTTTGCTTGATTTTGTTTAACGGCATATCAACCTCTATGGGTTATTTAATGCCGAAATCTAAATATTTTGAACACAATTTTACGGCTTCAACTAAATATATACTATAAATAGGTATTGTTGGTTGGTTGATTTTGTTTAGCGGCATATCAACCTCTATGGGTTATTTAATGCCAAAATCTAAATATTTGGAATGCAATTTTATATGTCTTCAACTGCAGATATTTTGTACATAATTTTATACTTCCAGAGTAAACATTTTTTTTTTAGATATATAGTTTGTAGATCATAAAATGTATTATTGATAATTATTTATTTTTTAAATGTATTGCTAGTAATTTTACTACAAAAATGTATTGTTGGTAATTTTTTATAAAAATATATTACTGGTAATTTTACTATTCTATAGTTTTTTTTAGTGTTGTATTGATTGTCATTTTGATATAAAATTGTACTGTTGATTTTTGTTTGGCAGTTCACTATTTGCCCATAGCTGGGACCCTAACAGGTGCTACCACAGCGGTTAAGAGGTGGTTCCATGCTCCTCAAAACCTCCAATCTCCCGATCTGATGACTTGCAGGTCATTTAAAGCCAGAATATATTTTTAGATTGTAAGAGTTTCTTTTTGAGATGAGTAATGATTTAGTGATACAAGTTTTACTAATTAATCCATAGCTGGGGGAGGTGGATTCATACCTTTTCCAAGGCTATTTGTGCATAAGTGAATATAACAAACCCAACAGGAATTGGAACTCAACTGATTAACAATTCCAAGTCATTATCCATTACACCAACTACACATTCAATTTTACAGCAATTGGGATTCTCAATTGGTCACCTATCTAGGTACTTACCAGGCTTGACATTGCTTAACTTTAGTGATTGTATGAGAACTGGTGTTTCAATGAGACGTGGTAGGCTTTGAATGATTAGTTTGGTTTGTTTTACGGCATATCAGCCTCAATGGATCATTTAATGCCAACATTTTTTTTTTTTCCTGGTAATATTTTTGTTTTGTCAAAAATCCATTTCTGTTAATACTAATATATGGTTTGTTTCTTTGTCGATCTTTCAACCAATTTTCAACAAACTTAACAATTGCTTTATAAATGTATCCTCTTTTACATCCCTGGTAGTACACTGACAAATTGAATATTTTTGTTTTGTCAAAAATCCATTTCTGTTAATATTTTTTCTTCAAAAACGTATAGCTGGTAATATTATTTTTCTCAAAAATGTATTATCAGAGGCCTTGCTGTTGGACATAGTTTATCGTTTTACCCAGGACGCAGATCTAGTTTATCGTCAGACCCAGGACTTGAACGTAGTTTATCATAATACCCAGTACGCGCTTTGAATGAGGTTTGAACCCTAACCAACGGTACTAGTGGAGAATACACAATTATATGAAACTTCAAACAAACCTTTCTCATTATTGTCCTAGAGCCAACCAAAAAAAACAAGTTTAATTGTTCAGAAAATTTTTTTAAATTACTCCAAAATCAATATTTTAAAAAATTTGTTTTTATTTATAGTTGTCAAACTATATATATATATATAAAACAAAGGATGTCTGTATGATACCTTTTCACTTGATATCTATCCTATCGGTTTTGACCAAATTTGGCACATACATTGTACAATGTAAGAGATAGGTTTGTTGCAGACCCGGTAGGGTGCAGTGCTGGATTATTACTAAGTGGCCTTGTGCCAGACACCACACTAAACTACCGAGTCTACAAGCAAAGTAAAAAGATAAATATGCGTGAATGAACAGTGAGAGAAGGGGTCAATCAACAAGTGCATAAAATAAAATATATTATGATAGCGGAATAAAATGCAAAAGACATCTGTTTATAAAACATGAGTAAACAAAACTTTAATTAAACAGTAACAAGTAACTTAACTCAAGGTAGGGAATCAATGAAAAGTGTTTCAGCGCCAAAATAGAAATACAAAGATGGCCAAAGGCAGGAAAAGAAAAGTCTTATACAGTTCCGGAAAAAGAATGTGCGCACAGATGAAAGGTACTCACTGTGGATATTTTTAAGTTGTAAGTGATTATGCATATTTTTAATGTACAGGTTCAGAGTTATAAAGAATGTTGTTAAACATTGAATTGACCGCTGGTAAATGTTCTGGACTGCTGTGGGG